AGAGAGATACCCAGTTAATCCCATTTGAATAAACAGGGCAGTCAGTGCTGGTTTGGACCACCAAGACACAAGTTATACAGACAATTCCCTGTGGAGCCATCCTGTTAAGTACTGAGAACATTATTCTGGCATTCCAAAGTGAGCCATGCACATTACACCCAGCTTCAAAGAGGTGATTCAGTAAAAAGAGGTGGGTGGTTCTAGGGAATTAAAAGTTCAGTATCAAGAATAGCTGCAAAAAGATCAAATCTAATGATGTATGAAATGGCACCTAACTTCATAACACAGAATGAAAGAGCATAAGAGAACTCAGAAAAGCAGTAAGAGTGAACAAGTTCTCACAAATAACAGATCACTTACACAGAAAAAAAAAACATTCCAGAAATAGCATTCCAAGGACACTTGCACTGTGGAAGGGCTAAGGTGACTCAAAATAATCTCTTTTGAATTATGAAATGGAAGATTTTTTTTTTCCTCATACAAATCCCTTTTCCACCCTCCAAGTAGAATTGCAAAATAAAAGCAATGTCACCTGCCCTCATCTACTATCCAATTCCACCTACACATGACTGGATATACCCAGAACCACAGATCTCACATGCGTATGTTTTAAAGTCACACTGAAGTTTAACAAATGGATGTTCCATTTAGAAATATCCCAGTGTGCTGGTTTGAAAGCAAACCAGTGGGAGACTCCAAGTCAGAAGTACAATTTAATAGGAAAAACAAAACAACAAATGCAACAGTACAAAAAGAAACCACTAACAGAGTCAGACAGCAACCTGACACCCTGTCAGTCAGGGTGTTGATAGTAGTCCCATTAAACGGTGCTGCAGTCCTCCTGGAGTGATGGGTCTGTTGGAGCAGTGATCCTGTAGATTTGGCCTTCACCTGAAGGTCCAGTGGTAGCTCTTATCCTCTGGGAATCCAGCAGGCAAAGGGCTCTGTGCTGGTCCAAACCCCAGCTTATATCCCTGTGGGAATGCTTGGCTCTCCTCCTCGGGCTGAAGCATCTCACAATGGGAGATGTAATTCTATGGGTCATGCCTGGGACCCTGACAGCCCATTAAACAGAGACAGTCCCTGAGGGAGCCATCAGGGACCAGGAGATAAGGAGCACTGCCCTACCTGCTTTAACAGCTTGTGGAGATCATAATAGAATACCCACCACTGGCTACCCCCACACTGCAACCCAGGACACCCAGGAATGCTCTTTATCCCCTGTGAATATGCAGTCCTGTACAGGCTGCTAGTGGACACTTTCACACACAGATTCCATGCATGGTTATGTCCCTACATAGATCTTTCAGCTCTCTTCATATTCCACCAATACAGGCAGTGTCTAAGTATGAAGCCAGTTACTTCCTCCCAACAGACTGACCACAGAATCCCTATAGGGATGTTCTATTGGCATTACATAACCTCAAACCCCATAAAGCAATCCCTGCATTAGAAAACACATGATAAAGTAATCCATTTAACTGCTCTCCAATGTATTTTCAACTTCAGAACTGTATTTTTCCAGAGCAAATCAAAACTTACACTGCTCAAGATTAAAACCCTGGCACTAAGGAAAATATTACATCTCCAACATGCAAATTTTCCTTACATTCATTTTACTTTGCTGGAATATAATTTCAGGTCATCTACATAGCATGGTAGACCCCCTTTCCCCTCCAGCCCTCTGTAATGTGAACTGCCTACTACTTCTATGGTTTTCCTTCAGTATTCTCAATAACAATGTTAGCAAAATATACCACTCTAGAATCTGTCAAGTTGGTTCTATAACAAATCCAGCAGGGTATCCATTGCCTTTGACACCAATTCTAGACAGTTTGCTAGAAAAACACAAGTAAGTACAGCACCTTTAATTTGTTCAGGTAGCGCCGTGTGTGAACCACCAGGAGATCCTCATCACTTGCTTCCCGTGCCTCTACAATCAGGTCATCTGCAATTAGCCTGTCCTCTGCAACAGGAGAGAAATAATTGGCATTGTACACCACTGCCTAACTTCCCAGATTCCATCCTGCCAAAGATGCTGTTCTGACTTTGGTGTAGCAACCTCATCTGTAATGTTTATTGCTTGAAACAACTTTTCGTTACTCAGTGTTGGCAAATTGTGCAAATAACACCCTCTGTAACAGGTAAGTTATTAAGGTAGTGTCTGTCTATAGAACCATAAAGTCATCAAGGTTGGATGTGACCTCTAAGATGATCAAGTCCAGCCATTAACCTGTCACTGCTGTAATCCCTAAACCATATCTTCCAGCACCAGATCCAGATGCCTCTTAAAACACTTCAGGGATGGTGACTCCACCACCTCCCTGGGCGACCAATTCCAGTGTCTGACCACACTAATAGGAAAAAAAATTTTCCTAACATCTAATCTGAATCCCCCCGTCTCAGCTTATGGCCATTCCCCCTAGTCATTTCACTGCAGCCATGGCAGGAGAGACCATCCCTCATCTCTCTACAACCCCATCAGGTAGAGAGCCATGAGGTCACCCCTGAGCCACCTCTTAGGTTTTCAGAGTGTGATCACTGTAACATCTTGGTCAAACTGAAAGACCAGATGGAGTGACAAAGGATGGACATACACAACACAGTCACAAGAATCCTCACAGTTCAGGGCTTAGTATGCTGGGCAAGTCTTGGTACTCACACCATCAAATATTTACCATTTGTTTAGGTGCTTTCGGAAATTCCACAATTGATTCTATGATTTAATTCCCTAAATCAAAGGGTAATTAAATAATTAATCAAAATATCAAACAAAATAATTGCTTGGATGGTCACAGAAACCAACATGCTGAATCAGGATATTTCTGCCACACTCCTACCTCAATTGAGCTTCCAGAAATACCAATGACCAGCTGTTAATTCTTTCTCTCACACACCAAAAGATAGTTTATTTAGAAATTTAGTTTTATGAGAGCAAGTTACAAAACATCACTCCCAAGAGTTCAGAACGTGATGGAAGACAATCTGTCTGAATGCATCCATCTGGCTATACTTGCCAGACAGTCCAGGTTTGGGCCAACCACAAGAGCCAAGGGCAGTACAGAGAACAATGTTGCCTTGCATATCATCACTACAAACCACAATTATGCTGATCCTCCCAGGGAAATTTCGGTTATTTAAATGGTGCATGGCTGCAGCTTTCTAAGCCTCTATCTTTTCTTTAATTTTACACTTGGATGAGAAAGAAAACAACTGGAAATGTGCGAGAATTTGTTCTGAAGTGTTATACAGTAACAGCACCTGCAACAATGTTTGTTTTGGCATCTTTGTTTCTCCTGACTGAGGCTTGAGGAAAGTTTCATTCATACACTGGTGTCAGACAGAACCGAAGTGCCGACAGCTTCCTCCTCGAGGTAAGGTAGAAAGAGGCTCACTGGTGACTTTCTAGCTGATAGGGAACAGAGTAGGTCAGCTGTTGCCAGGATTTCCTACAGAGCCAAGAAAACCAAGAGCCCTGGGGTGTCCTGGGGCTTCTTTCTGCTCTCAAATCAAGGAGAGTAAAACAATTGGGAAAACGAATTTGCTGTGAAAGGCTAAGACACTTCAGAGAGGACACTTCACATGGAAAAAGAGCTTGAGGAAGAGACTTTACATAGAGAATGAACAGAGAGGCAAAGGTTCTGATCAATTAAGAAAACCGTCATGGAAGCCAAGACTTATTTAAGATTGTTAGAAGAAAGATCCAATAGGCAGCTACTAAAAGGAGTGTTAGGATCTGCTTAACCTCAGCTAAAGGAACACAAGGCAGCATGAAGTCAGAAGGGCAATCCTTAACTGGAAAGGATCAGCAGCTGAAGGAGTCATTAGGCCCACAGAAATGGAAGAGGCCTGGCTTTTTTCCTTTTCTTGTTTTCACATTAGATGAGCAAGCTTACACTGTAAAGGCAGAGATGTTGAGATTTCACAGGCCCCGATCCTAACCTTGGTTCTTAAATCTGTGTTTCCTTAATGTATTTCTGTCTGTATCTCCCAGCTGGTTTACACAGCAATAATGAGAAGCATCACCAAAAGCTCTGCCTGTCACCAGAGGCGCCTCAACAATACCAGAGCAATAGCATGAGGTTGTTAAAGCACCATTGGCAGCACCTTTGTGCAGTCTAAGTCAAATAACCAAGTTACACAGC